CCTTCTCAACTCTGTCTAGTATCCGGATCGGGTGTTCTTTGTACTCTAGAGTGTCCTGAATATCTAGTGCATCTGTGTGTACCTCTTGCTCTGGCAACTGCAAGCACTTGCGTAGCTGGGACACGTGAAACACTGGGTGTACTCCTGTCAACTCCTCGGGCAACTCTACCTTGTATGCCAACTTGCCAATCCTCTGACAAATCCTGTAAGGTCCCACGTACCTGGGGGCCAACTTCCCTTTCACATGAAATCTTATAGTGCCTCGGAGTGGGGAGACTTTGAGATAGACATAGTCCCCAACCTAAAACTCGAGGTCTCTCCGGCGGTTATCTGCGTAGCTTTTCTGTCGGCTTTGGGCAATCCTCAGGTTCTCTCGCACTTGGGTGACTCCTTCTTCGGCATCTTTGATCTTTGCGGGGCCAAAGAATGATCTCTCTCCTACCTCTGACCACATCAGAGGGGTTCTACACTTTCTGCCATACAATGCCTCAAACGGTGACATCTTGAGACTAGCCTGGTAGCTATTGTTGTACGAGAACTCTGTGTGGGACAAGCTTTTCTCCCAATCAGACCCATACTTCAAGACACAAGCTCGGAGCATGTCCTCCAAAATCTGATTAACCCTCTCTGTCTGACCATCTATCTATGGGTGGTACGCGGTGCTGTAATCCAGTCGAGTCCCTATGGCCTTGTGGAGACTCTTCTAGAACTTGGACACGTATTGCATGCCACGATCAGACACTATGCTAGTGGGGGCTCTGTGGAGTCTGAGAATGTGCTCGATGTACAGATCTGCTAACTTCTCAACTCTGTAGTCATTCCTCATAGCTATGAAGTGAGCTACCTTGGTCAGTCGGTCAACAATCACCCAAATCGAGTCATGGCCTTTAGGGGTTCGAGGTAAACCCACTATAAAGTCCATGGATATGCTCTCCCATTTCCACACCGGGACATCCAAGGGATTAAGCAACCTGGCCGGCCTCTGATGCTCGGCCTTGACCCTATTGCAAATGTCGCATCGCGCGACATGCCTGGTAATATCTGCCTTCATGTTCTTCCACCAGAACTGTTTCTTCATATCGGCATACATTTTGGTGCTTCCTAGGTGGATACAATACTTAGAGTCATGACCCTCTTCCAAGATTTCTTACCACAAGGCAGGATCGGATGGTACACAGATTCTGTCCTTGTACCAGTACACTCCTTGCACATCTTCCCTGAACTCGGGGCACTTGCCCCTCTTCATGAGTTCTCGGATCTCCTAGATTTCTGGACACTCTAGTTGAGCATTGCAGATCTGATCCTTGAGGTTGTATTGCACTCGAAGCTCGTTTAGCATACCCTTTGGTAGAATCTCAAGACGAAGGTCATCCATTTCCTGACATAGCTCGGGTGGTACAGCTTCCATGGACAGATTGTGGCAATAGCTCTTTCGGCTCAAGGCATCAGCGACTACATTAGCTTTTCCCGGATGATAGTGGATCTCCAGGTCATAATCCTTTATAAGCTCTAGCCATCTGTGATGTCTCATGTTTAGGTCCTCTTGTGTGAAGAAGTACTTCAGGCTCTTGTGATCGGTGTAGATATCACACTTATTTCCGATCAAGTAGTGCCTCCAGATCTTTAGGGCATGCACAACAGCGGCAAGCTCAAGATCGTGGGTCGGGTAGCATTGTTCATGGTCCTTTAACTATCGGGACGCATAGGCAATGACTCTCCCACTCTGCATCAAAACGCAACCCAGTCCCTGTCTGGATGCATCACAATAGACTACGAAGTCTTTTTGGATATCGGGCAAGGCAAGAACAGGAGTGGTGGTAAGCTTCTGTTTCAGAGTCTGGAAGCTGTGCTCGCACTCGGGCGTCCATTCAAACTCATTAGTCTTCTTCAGTAGGTTGGTCATGGGCTTGGTTATCTTTGAGAAGTTCTCGATGAACCTTCGATAGTACCCGGCCAATCTGAGAAAACTGCGGATATCGGTCACATTGCGGGGTTGTTCCCACTCCTTCACAGCTTCAATCTTTGCGGGATCTACAGCGACTCCCTCAGCAGTGAGAACGTGACCAAGAAAGGTGACTTTTTCGAGCCAGAAGTCACACTTGCTAAACTTGGCATAAAGCTGATTCTGCCTCAACTTCTCCAGAACCACTCTCAAGTGTTGTTCATGCTCTTCGGCGGTGGAGGAATAGATAAGGATGTCATCAATGAACACCACCATGAACTTGTCTAGCTCATCCATGAATACCTTATTCATCATGTTCATGAAATAAGCTGGGGCATTAGTGAGTCCAAAGGACACCACTGTGAATTCATATTGCCCGTATCTGGTGACGAAAGCTGTCTTAGGAATGTTCTCGGGTCTGATTTTCATCTGATGATACCCAGACCTGAGATCAATCTTGGAAAAGTTGATCTAGGAGGTCATCGATCTTGGGCAGAGGATACTTGTTCTTGACTATCACGGCATTCAAGTTTCGATAGTCAATGCACATCCTCATGGATCCATCCTTCTTTTTCACGAACAAAACAGGGGAACCCTAGGGTGAAGCACTGGGTCTGATGTACCCCTTGTCCGACAACTCCTTGAGCTATTTCTTTAGCTCCTCCAGCTCATCGACTGACATGCGGTAGGGCCTTTTAGCAATAGGCCCGGTACCAGGCAGAAGGTCAATCACAAACTCTACATCCCGATCAGGTGGCATGCCTGGCAACTCCTCAGGAAACACATCAGGGTACTCATTCACAATGGGTACCTCCTCGACTGTCTTGGCCTCTAAGGCACACAACATAGAGACTGTCTTTCCCTGATTAGGCTTACAACGGATTATGTGACCACTCAGGTGTGTGATCTATATGTACCTTGGTGAACAAGATATCACTCCTTTGTGCTGTGTCAACCAATCCATTCCCAGTATGACATCTAGTCCCTCAGATGGAAGTAAGGTGAGATCGGCTAGGAAAGGGTAGCCCTCAATGGTGATACTCACTCCCTAACATCTCTTGGTGCATATAATGCGACCCAAGGGTGAACTAGTGTCAATGGGCTCCTTGCGGGGGGTCATAGGTATGCTATGCTCTTGTGCAAACTTGGTTGAAATGTATGAACAAGTAGCTCCAGAGCCGAACAAAACCAAAGCTATAACTCCCTGTACCAAAAACATACCGTACACCACGTCGGTAGCGTCCTAGGCGTCCTCCGCGGTCATGTGGTTGAGACGACTATGGATAGCCCCTGCAACGTTCTTGTGCGGAGCAGCAGGTGTAGCAGCCTGTCTCGCCTAGGTCGGAGCAGGCGGTGTGCCGTTCTTGATGGGGCACTCGGCAATCTTGTGACCGGGCTGGCCACAACCGAAGCAGGTGAAGGGCGCGCTACTTGTGGAGGTGGGCGTAGCGGTCCTCCACGTGCCAGCTCCCTGAGTGGGGCGACTCGGAGCGGGACGGCTCTGAGTGGGGCGGTGGTAGTTGGCGGTGTAGGTACCACCTCCACGGCTCGGAGCGGTCACAGCCCCCTGAGTGTAGCGTGAGCGGAGCGGAGGAAGCACGTGAGCACGTGGCCTCTGCGTGGCTAGGCCACGAGAGGAACTCTCGAATCAGCGCTTCTTCTCCTTATGGAGGGCGTCCGCCTCTAGACGATCCCTCTCCATCTCCAGCACCTTGTTGACCATCTCGCGAAGGGTGCGGCAGGCATGACCCAAGAGGGCCACCTTGAGACGAGAGTTCAGCCCCTTCTTGAAGCAGTACATCTTCTTCTTCTCGGTATCGGTCTCACCTAGAGCATACCTCATCATGCGGGTGAAGCGAGTGGTGTACTCCTAAACCTTCTGGGAGCCCTGGGAGATGTTGCGAAACTCCTCCACCTTGGCATCCATGACACCTTTGGGCACGTGGTGCTCACGGAAGGCCTCGGTGAACTCCTCCCAAGAGATACTCCCCGGGTTCTCGTGGGTGTCGCAGTAGCTGTCCCACCATGCGCGTGCAGCTCCAGTGAGCTGGTGGGCGGTGACCCCCACACACTCCTCGTCAGTGCAGGTGGTGAGGTCTAGCTTCTTCTCCATCTCACGGAGCCAGTCCTCGACGGCGATGGGGTCGTCGGTGGCGGTGTCGAAAGTAGGAGGCCTCAGCTTGAGGAAACCCTCCAACTTCCACTAGAAGTCATTGGGAGGACCCCCGTGGTGGTGAAGCATCCCCTGAGCCAGCGCCTTCAAGAGGTGGGTTTGGCGGTCCATCACCTCCGCCAACTGTGGTGGCGACGGCGGTGGTGCTCCTCCTCCAAGCTGCTGGGCGGCACTCGCCCCCAGTGCGGGCTCCTCTGGTGCGGGCTCCTCCCTGGCACCGAAGGGAGCTCCCCTACCTCCTCCACAGCCATGGCCATGACCACGGGCCATGGGTGCGGGGGAAAGCGAGTGGTTATTTAGACGAGCAGAACGACGTCAAGACATCTCTCTGCAGGGTTAGGTCATTATTTAACATTTTTTGTTAGATGCATTGTTAAGTGGTTTATCAATTTAAAATGAGATTTCTATCCAACACTCATACAAAGATGCAAATAAGAACCATAAGATGCAATAAGATCCAAAACATCCATTACATTAATTTATTACATAGCGACATCTCCAGTAGCTACACTGACAGATTCGCGGGAATCGTGCTACTTGTAGGCAGCTCCAAAAGTGGGACATCCTACTTTACTCCATTGGTGCGTCATATCTCTGGCCACGTAGGGCTCAACATGTCTACTACTACATTAACTACTCCTGTCCGAGAGTGATGGGTGGTGCAGAAGGACCAGAAGTGGAAGCCTTGGGAGTGCCCTCCATGGCACGGAGCTCGTCGTCGGAGCGGTGGATCCTCACGATGTAGGTGAGAGCGTAGTCCAGCATCTCTATCCTCGGAACCTCTGAGTAACCCTTCGTCGGGCAAGCCTTGAAGTTGAGCTTGGTGGCCTCAACGTGGAAGGGTTGTCTGCGTGGCTTCTTGCGCATCCTAGGTAAGAGGACGTCCTAGACCTTCCTGATCTCCTGGACGCGCTTGCGATCAGCGTCGATCCAAGCCTGGCTGATGCGGTTCACCTTGTTCTGAAGGTACTCGGTGCACTTGATGTAGTGAACTAGGTGATGCATGTTGTAGGTGGTGGTGATGGCAGCCTCCACAGCCAGCTTCTCCATCATGTTGCAATGGGCCTCCAGGGCAAGCTTCCTGATGCCACGGTGCTTCTCCTTCTCGTGGAACTCCCTCAGGGTATGTCTCTGACGCTCAATCCGATCCTCGCACTCAAGCACCTTGGACTCAAGATAGTCGTGGCGAAGCTCAGCCTCCCCAACTTTGTCCTTGAGGTTGGCGATCTCCTCCCGAAGTGACTTCTCATGGGTCTCGTAGAAGGTCTTCATTCTGTCATAGCCCATGCGCTCCTCCTCAAGCTTGCCAACCATCTCCTCCTCCTTGCGCTCCACCTTGAGGAACTCCTCATCGCAACGGAACAGGAGGTCTCGGTAGCGGTGGTTCTGCATCTCCACATCCATGATGTAGCGATCCTAGGCGATGATGTACTGTGCGGAGGCCCTCAGGCAGGGGTCGACCTCGTCACACGCAGCATGGTCTGCGGCAGTGATCTGCGGCTCTGAGAACCTATTGAGGTCCAGAGCGGCAGGTAGCAGGCGGTACGGTCCCGTCTTGAGGTAGTCGTGTGCGTCACGCATCACACTACGAAGAGCAGTGCGCGAGACAGACTGCATGCACGAAGCAATGGAGTTCTCCACCTCCAGTGTCTCAAAGGCACACAGCACGGGTACGAACTCGCTGGCGGGGACCTTATGGTGGACCACGATGTGGCCCTTGAACCCGTCGGGTCTAGGCTCACCCCAGCACACGTACTCGATCTTCTCTGTGGGGACACCTAGCAAGTCCAGTACGTCATACAGGATCGTGGCGAACCCATGGTAGGCCAGTCCGTCCACAGGGAGCTCGACAACAGGAGCCATCTGCAATTTTAATCGTAAGACAGAGTCAGTACTTGTTATTTATGAAGTATCTTGAGTATTACAGAGTGAAACTTGGTAAGACAAGGCAAAGCAAGGTAAATTAGGGTGATACTTGGTGAATCCTGAGTGATACAGGGTGAATCAGGGTGGAACGGAGCGATGTGATGGGTAAGGTAGAACGAAATTTAGGTAAGAGAGTGTGAAATTGAGGTAAGCCATGCACGAAAATGCAGCACGGTCGGTAATATAACCGAAAGTGTCAAGATCTTTCATAATCCTATTGTCCAAACCTACGGGTCCATCCTAGGGTCAAGCATGGCTCTGATACCAATTGAAACGTCCTTGATTTCTACGAAAGGGAAATCCACAGAAACGAAGTGTAAAATGACGAACGATCCGTCAATTTACCCAAATCTCAGTGATACACCAAGTCATACACGATTATTAGAGTAAAATAAAGAGTTTTACATAAAATATTCTCTTCGCCACGCAGGGCGGAACACACTCACACATAGCATCCTGAACAGCATCTGATGAGGATAGCAGTGGAAAACGATCTCCTAGAACCAGCTCGAGCGTAGAACAGACCCTCTAGTCCTCCCAGTCATCGCCCTCGTAGTCGTACTCGGGCTCAAAACCTGCCAAAAATCTATCAGTACACTTGGTACTAGCCACGCATCGCCCACCCTATGCTTGCATTGCTTTGTGGAGAGTGGAATGCATTGGGGGAAGTAGGACGTGACCTATTTAGGCTGTGGGTTTCCTATGCAAGTAGTTAACATTTTATTAATAATATGTTCATCAGGTTTTTAACCCATCTTATTCACACGTTCTCCCCACCCATCACACACATCACATCTCATCTCACTCTCTCTCTAGGCGATGAGATCGACTCCCGCTCAGATCTCGCCTCAACGGCCAAAGCCGGAATCCAACACGAAACCCGGGGGAAAGGTAGAGAAGGACTCCTCTCTCTAATCAAGTGAAGCGTAGGTCACGGGAATGTCCATATCCGTGGACGCAGCTATACGTATAGATTGATCAACTCTGCAGAGCGTGTACACTTGGTAATCCACAAGATCGCCAACCTCGACAATCCGGCTCGTCTAGGCTGATTCTGACTGCCTCCCAACCGATACAGTACCACCCTACCACTCAGTCCTGGGCCACCCCGGAGTCCACTAAAACACTAAGACTGTGAGACATAGTACCGGGCCCCCAAGGTCACTACGCTGTCTTAGGAGGGTGTGGGTCCCCATGCCCGTACCTCCCTACACTATCACCTTCCAACCTAGTAGTAGTGGTACCGCCCTAGTTAGTCGGGTAATCGTCCCCCGCCCATCGGGAGCGAGTGGTGTGCACGAAGGTCCCATGGTTCCGGTTCACAAGACATACCAGTCCTTAGGGGGACCGGACATGATATCTTCTCAAAAGGGTATCACCATCTCCCCGTACCACAATAACACCTCACCAGGGATAACCAACATCCCGGTCCACCTCTCACATATACCCGCCACAGGTAACTCTCGCAAGGGATGCCCAGGTCGCACCCCTTCGGCAAGACTTGCCCCAAAGACTCGTCGTAAGATCCTGTCCGATCGACTCAACCCTCACCACACACCCAAAACACACGCCAAGATCTCCCCATGTTCATTATCCAGTTTTACCAAGTTTTACGGCACCTCGTGCCTTACGCGCATACGTCTCTCCCTCACCAGCATCACATCACGGATATAATGCGAGTAAGAGTAAAGCAGTAAGTCTGTAACAAGCAAGCATCTAGCCTATCAGCGGGTGTGCAGGAGTAAGGTTGCAACAAGGTATAAGGCTCAAGTAAAACTACCATGCATCCTAACATCATATTATTCCATAAAAGATAAAGCGCTAGCAATTCTAGTTATAGCATGCGTAATAGGATCTATGAGATTGGGTGGGGCGTGGCACCTGGCAGGTCGTCTCCCAAGTCCTCGCTGTAGTCAGGGTCGTACTCCTCAGTCGGCAGGTCCTCCGGCTCTGTTAAACGTAACATATGGTCGCATGAGCGACTCCTATAAAGGTGCACAAAGAAGCAACAGAAATTCGAAAGATCCAAATGCACTCAAACACAAGCCTATGACATAGAGCTCCTTTTTAGAAAAATTTGAACACTGGTTTGGTATTTTTTTGAGTTAAAATGAATTAGTTTTGAATTTTCAAAGATCAAATGAATTTCTGAAAAAGAAAAAGAATTGGAAATTCCAAGCAGTGACACGTGGCAGCACCCGATTGGCTAGGATGGAGTGAGTCACTGACAGGTGGGTCCGTTGACTGGTCAACAGTCAACTCTGGCGGGCTGGGCTAGGGCTGGATACGGGCCGGGTTGGGCTGATCTAGGCCAGGCCGGCCCGGACACGTGGCAGCTCCCCGTGATGCCACGTTGTGCTGTGGATTCGAAATGGGCTCCAGTCTTTGTAGGCGTGGCTCATGGTGGGCATGACCGAGCGATTCCCGGGTGCACGTGGGATCTATGGTGGACCTTGTTCACCTTCTCATTCTTCCTCTTGGTTCATGGTGTACATGGTGCACCGAACTACTGTCTCGGCCCCTCCCCTTGCTTCCCCGCACGGTGGCATGCCCGCCGGCGGCGAGCGGCCGTTCTCTAGCCACGGCGGCTCCTCGGCAGCGTTTTTAGGCTCAATCGAAGACTTCTCGGCCCGCCCTTGTCCAGCGAGGTGGCCGGCGCGATTGGGAACGCTCTCGGCACGACGGCGCTCTGGAGCGCGGCTCCACCGACAAGGTAAACACAAGCAGCTCCCTCACGTGGCTCTCTTCCTCCATCTTGCTGCACGTGGTGCATCCCTTGCCAAGGCGAAACAGATAGCCCTCCTTCCCTCGCTTCTACCGGCCTGACGCGGCAAGAACGGAACATCGCCATGGTGAGCTCTAGCCATGGCGGGTATGCTCCATAACGCGTCGCCCCTCCAGCGTTCCCAGGCCCTCGGTGCGTAGTGCGGTCCGTGGTTGGGGCGGAAGGTGTGCGTGCGTGTGTGTAGGCAGGGTACAGGGGTCAGGGCCTCCTCTTGCTCGTTCCCGGTATGGAGACGGCGAAGTGATGCCCACGAACACTACGGTAGAGAGCCGGGAGGGTGCTGGGGCTCACCGTAGGTGGTGATGGCGAAGGGATATCGATGCAGGGCGAGTCGAGGCAGTGTCGAGGCGAGGCCGTGCCGTGCCGAGCAGCTACTCTGCTGTACCGATCGGGTCGTCGCCTTCCATTCTAGTGGCTCCTCTTCGGCGGCTCTGGTAGAACCCTCTCTTCTCTACTCCCCTTCTCCCTCCTTCTCTTGGTCGCGACGGGAAGTGGTGGCCACCAGGGCGGCGGCGAGGTGATGGGAAACGGCTAGGGCACCTCAGTGGTGCCTTCTTATAGAGAGGTGGTGATCATGGCGAGGTGAACGGCAGAAAGGGGGCTTAGGGCCATGTGGAGGTGATCGGTGCGCTTAGGCTAGGGTTAAGGTCATGGCGCGGTCGCGGGTTGCCTTGGCGCCTCCGTTTTGGCGCAACAACCTGCTCAGGCTTCGTTTGATGGTGCCAGGGGCGGTTGCAAGGGTGCGGGCCACAACGATGGTGTCATGGCATGGATGGCTCCAGCTGGGGATGGTAGCAGTGTAGATAGGCGATGTGGCGTCGCATCCACGCGTTCGTTGTCAACCGACGTGAAGAGAACGACTAGCAATGGAGATTCCCCCTCCTTTGTCCTGACTCAGGCATGAAAAGGGGGGTGAAGGCGCGAGGAGGACGATGACAACAGGGTCCCCCAGCTGGCGGTGACCAGGAAAAAGGGAAGAGCGGCTCCTGTATAACGTGAACAAAGAGCGGGCTCCTAGCTGGGCCGTCTCGGCGTTGTTGGGCCATGTCGAATCCGTGGCCTGTTACGGTGGGAGTGGGGCAGCTGAAAGGCTGGGCCAGTTGGGGGGTTGGGTTGGCCCGCGGGTGCCGGTGCGTGGCCTGTTGGGCTGGAGTCCGTTCGTGGGCTATGGAGCCAGGCTGGCTTGAGCTCTAGGGCCAGAAGGGGTTTCTCCATTTTAGCTTAATTGAATTAGCTCTTCTATGTTATGTCTTCATTTTTCTAGCTACTCCATAGTTCCTACATGCATACACATGTGTTGCCTACACATGTATGCCCTAGTGGGGTCCACTAGGGGTCATTTAGGGTTCATCCAAGGGTTGGCAACAACACACACACATTTATTTAAATATTTAAATAAATGTTGTTGCTTTTATTAATCAATACAAAAGAACATAAGAAGCAACTCATGCAAATTTAATTAAATACAAGGATATGAACATCTACAATAGGTACTACTTATGCAACTAGGGTAGTTTTCCTACAAGACATTCACCAACCATTGGCTATTTTTTTAAAAAAAATTGTAGTTGTGATTTTTTTGTTTTCTGGAAATTTCTGGGTTGTTACATGCCTGGTCAAAACACCTCCATGATGATGTACGGTCCCTCCAATGGTGGATAGAGCTTGTGGTTGTTCTTGTTGCTATAGAAGAGGTGGAGCACCAGGTCCCCGATGTTGAAGGCCCGACCCTGCACTAGAAGGCTGTGGTACCAGCACAACGCTTGCTTGTACTTGGCCAAGTGGAGGAGGGCAACGTCACGTGCTTCATCTAGTTGGTCCATGGCATCCTTGAGGGACGCCTCGGCTCCCCATTCATCATATGCCCTGACCTTCGGCGCTCCATAATCGAGGTCGGTTGGGAGGATAGCCTCAGAATCGTAGACCATGAAAAATGGCGTGTAGCCGGTGGCCTAGCTGGGGGTCATCCTTAGGCTCCAGAGTACCATGGGAAGCTCCGTGACCCATCATCTGCCAAACTTGTTCAATCAGTTGAAGATCCTAGGCTTGAGGCCTTGTAGGACCATGTCGTTCGCGCGCTCGACCTGCCCATTTGTGCGGGGGTGCGCCATGGTGGCCCAATCGACGCAGATGTGGTATTCATCATAGAATC